TGGGACGCGTTTGCTGGCGCAGAAGCCCCCGAGTTTTGCGCGCGGGGGTCGTAGCCGTGCCCCCGGCTCTTTCCTCGCTCCCCAGCGGGTTTCCTCGGCGGTCACTCCAGAGAGCCGCCTCGCAGGAAAGTGGAATCGCCTTGCACGATGCGCGCCGGTTTGCTCCGAGGGAGCCGCGCTCTGCTTAACGCCGGCATAGTAAACCGACCGCGACGGCTTGTCTTCGCACCACACGCCAAGCCATAAATCCTGGTTGCAAATCATGGGCTAACCCGACCCCAGGCAAAGCCGGCGAGGGCTCAGTAAGAGGTGCTAATTTCCTAAGGAGGGAAGTCACTGATAAAAAATGGATTTACTTCCAAGGGAGGGCCCTTGAAGTTGGGGTTCGGTAGCCCCCCCCCTTGTGCAGGTTTTTGCTCATACTAACCTTTGCCTTCTGCAGAAGGACAGAGTGGCCCCCAGGTTGGAAGAGGTCAATCTACAGTGCAACACCAAAGATTTAACAGAGGGTGCAAATTACTGTGCAGTCTCCTTAATTTCACACACTAGCAAAATAATGCTCAGATCATCCAATGCGGATTAGAGCCCTACATAGAAAAAGAGATGCCAGATGCTCAAGCTGGCTTTAGAAAAGGCCGAGGAACACAGACATGATTGCTGATGCATGCTGGATAATTGAGAAAGCCAACAAATACCAAAAGAAGTCACTATGCACGTCATTTGTTATAGAAAGGCCCTCAATTGTGTGGGTCCTGTCAAGCTGTGGAAAGTGCTTAGAAAAATGGGGGTCCCAGAAAGTCTCATTGTCCTCATGGGAAACTTATATACAAGTCAGGAAGCCACAGTACGGATAGAACATGGCAAAACAGACTGGCTTCAGGTTGGCAAAGGAGCCAGACAAGGCTGCATACTCTCCCCTTATTTATTCAACCTATATGCGGAATATACATTAAAGGGAGCTGGATTGGAAGAAGATGAGCGTGGTTTTAGGACCGGAGGAAGAAATGTCAATAACCTGCGCTACGCTGATGACACTACTCCGATAGCCAAAAATGCAAAGGATCTCCAAGTCCTAGTAACAAAAGTCAGGGAGCACAGTAAAAAAACAACAACAATGGGGCTAAAATTAAATATGAAGAGAGCAAATGAATTACAACAGGTAGAACAGCCAGCCTTAGAATTAACAATGAAGATATCAAAGTCATGAAGAGCTTCTGCCTTTTAGGATCAACCATCAGTAAAGGAACAAACACCCAAGAAATACACCACAGATTAGCACTTGGTAGAGCAGCCGTGAAGGTTTTTGAAAAGATTCAAATACCATGATGGGTCTATATCTACAAAGATCAGAAGTGTGAAGCCATGGTATCCCCTGTGACGCTCTATGGAAGTGAAAGTTGGACTTTGAAGAAGCAGGATAGGAAGAGCATTGATGCTTTTGAACATTGGTGTTGGAGAAGACTCCCGAGAATATTGTGGACAGCCAAGAAAACAAACCAATGGATCATTGAACAAATCAACCCAGATTTCTCACTCGAGGCACAAATGACCAGGCTCAAATTATCCTACTTTGGACACCTTATGCCAAAGCTCTCTGGAGAAGGCTCTGATGCTGGGAAAGGTGGAAGGAAAGAGAAGACGACAACCAGAGCAGGGTGGATAGACTCAGTTACAGTGGCGATGAGTTGGAAGACCTGAAAGACCAGGTTAGGGACAGATCATCTTGGAGAAAATCTATCTATGTGGTTGCTAAGAGTCAACAGTGACTTGATGGCACACAAGCAAACTAAAAAGAACAGGAGACAAAGCAATATTAATCCCTCTACATGCAGAGTAACAGGTAAGGATTACATAATAGCTACAATTCATAGTACTAATGAACTCTAACCTGATAGAATATCTATACCAGGGTTTCTCAACTCAGCAACTTGAAGATGTGTGGACTTCAACTCCCAGCATAGGGAATTCTG